CGTGGGTTTTCAATATAAATCACCCCGGGCGATAATGTACAAGCGTTAATGACGTCGTTTGTATTCAGTTTCAAACTTTCCTACCACGGTAAATAATCCCGGGCTATAAGTATTTGTGTAAACTGACATTTCTTTTTTTTTTTTTGGTAAGTCAACCTGAATTAATTTTATAATACATTTTGAAAAAGGACAATTGACAGAAACCTGTGAACCTCGTTTCCTTTTTCTCCCTGTTCCTCCACCATATTCTCTCAATAGTATAATAAGATTATGTCGTTAAAGTCAAAATGTCATAATAAATGTTTTCATCGATAGGGTGAGATTAATTGTTTTAGTATTTCATTGCTTAATTTACGATTAATTAATCGCGGTGTATACATCTTTTTTTTCAATCGACGTTGATTAATTACGATCATTTTGTAAGGTAGTTTCATTTAAAATAATCTGTACATTTTTCGTTATTAGATAGATTTATAACCAATTAAAGCACTAGATTTTGATATGAACGAAAAAACAGTAAAAAGCAAAATAAAACAATAAACTCAAAACAACAACGTTGAAACATGGAACGTGGCTAGTCAATCATCTAACATTATCTAGAAGAAACTTAAGCAACACTTGTCGTATTTATTTATTTAAAGGAACAAAAATAATTAAATATTCAAACAAACTCTTAACAACAAAAATGTTGTTTATTTTCTTTGCTAAAACACATTGTGTTGAAATTAGCTCAATTGATAGTATAACAGCCGAATTTCAAGGTAATTTATTTTACTAGTTTGGTGACTTTACGCCATACCAGTGCATAGGACAGGGGCTGAGGGGAAATTTTAGAAAGTATTTAAATTAATAATTACAGTGCAATATGTTGCTTTTTTAATTTTGGTAAATCAAAGGTTAGCCCTCCCCGAAATGAAATCCTGGCCGCTCCACTGCTCATACCTTTCATCCCTTCAAAAACTTGCATCCTATGTTCAGTAATTTTTAAATTATTTAAAATGATAACAGTGACGTACTCGATATCAAATGTAAAACATAGAAAAACTCTAAACTTTAAAAATGCGGTTTTTATTTATTTTAGTCCATTACTATTAAGGAAATATTGTAAATATTATTCTTTTCGTTAAAAAATACCGTTGCTACGATAACAATGCGATAATGCACAAACCGGACTTATAGTTAAAAACTGTTTTTAAAAACATAAAATAATACAGCCAATTTAGACTGTAATTTAGTTCATAACACGCACGTAGAGCAGCAATAGGAGTTATATTCCAAATAATAATTATATTTTTATATCAAAAATAAAAACGGTACCAGAAGTTATCGAACAATAGGTGTACCGACATTGACTATGCGATGGACATTTTAAAAATGTTGAACGTGCTTTCTAGAAGTTATTAGACTTATATGAAATTCGGTAGTGCCGTAATACGATAATAATTTAGGTGTTCGCTTTTTTAATAGGATAAACGTGTTTTGAAATATATTACGAATTTAACATGCCGTTAAACGGAACGCTTTGCATGGATAAAATAGGATTACATTTAACATCATATCAGAGGTTTTTCGTTTACTTTCTTTGTAATAAAACCTGAACATGGCTCGTCTGCCCATTAACGCTTGCTTCAGCTTACTGCCGTCATCTGCAGCGCGGTTTTTTCATATACAAAAAAAAAAATGATAAAATGATATACATTTTTTATTAAACCAAAACTGTAATAATGCTGCAAATTATATTATCCCTGGCTCTACAAAGGTTAATGAAAACCGCAGTTTTTGTTTTTTTGTTTATGTATATTTTAATACTGTTTTTTTTCTACTACCCGCAGTAATCGAAGTTTAAACTTTCCGGGCAAAACTTTTTTCTAATACTAACTTGGTTTTTTTCTCGATTAAATTCCCGCGGCTGTAGTAAAAGAAAGTCAAGCATTTTTTCTTTAGGTCTTTTTAAAAATATTTTGTTTTCCAAACGGTTTTCAGTTTTTATTTATAAATTCTCAACTCCATTTGATGAAATTACTTTAAAAAAAAATCGTCTCAAATAAACGCCTACTAACCAGTGATCGTTACTCAAAATATTTTTTAAACAATAATATCTACATTGAAATGTATGAATTTCTGCACAAAGAACAATCACATACGAATACCACACCTGTTTTGCGGAATCCCTAAAAATAACCACAAAGGGATTGAAGTTAAGACCTTCATGTTTTGAACCCTTATAATGAATGTTACGAATTTACAAGCCACAAAAAGTAAAACACGCATGTTTATGGTATAAACTTTTATACAACAATTTAACTTGATGTCGTTGAATATAGGTATTATATTATTTTACATCGTACCACAACGTTTACAAATATTTAGGTTCAAGAAATTTCCAAACAGCTGTCGTTACATTATACAATTAACACAACCAATTTATATTTTCCCATTTTCTTCGTTAGGTATAGTTTTATTTATTTATTTTTTTAATATCAGTTGTTCACACTGGTCGAGTGTCGACAGATTTTTGTAAAATTGCTTAGCTATCAAATCTAACGTGTGGGCCAATAATTGTCAATACTTTGACTATCTGTGTACTTAGAATTTTCAATGACGAGCAGCTTGCACATATTATTACAATAACGCCGTGTCCGATTTTCATGCGGTTGTCATGGATACCGGAGGGTCATCATTGACAAAGCACTCGGGTCCGGTCATTACGAATTTTTCGAATAAAGAAATCCCCAAAAAAAAAAGAAGATAATTTAGTACATAATTCGATCGTTCCATCGAAACCCAGTTAAACAAAATCAAATGCCAAATGTTTAACAATTCAAATAACCCTATTTGAGCATAAAAACCGTTACACGAAATGGGTCTAAATTTTTTATTTGCGATTACTTTTTTATTTCGCCGGGTTACTGCTACATTGCGGGTAATGTCGAATCGTATATTGATTTTGCATTGTTCTTTTTTATCTTCGATAATGATGCTTTGCCGAATAAACGACTCTACATAAATGGTCCACCCCCGTCTGCTTAGTATCAATGCGACATTGTCTAATAACGTAAAACCGTCCCATAAATAAAACAACCCCTGTATTTAAGGAACTTTTGGTAAAAATAAATAAATAACAATAACGCCGTGGCTAATTTAAAAAACAATGTATGAACAGAAACACTCACTTACTTTTTAAGCAAATGTTCTGGCTTAGGTTAAGTAAACTTTTGTATTTATTCATTATCGTTTCGATGTGAAACTTCACGGTAATGTTAAGAGCAGTTAAGCCCAGTTTAATTAATTGACACTTTTTTCTCGGTTCGATATAATACAATAATAATTAAAAATTACTAGTTACAACGAACAATTTTAAGTACTTTATATTTGTATTTTCTTTGTGATCCAAGTATTAATATAAGACCGTGAACATAAACTAATTGAACGATAACACGGCTTACAGGGTAGGCAAATCAGTAACATAAAAGCGTATAACAATATAAATGGTTTTGGTTTTTATAGAATTTTAACAATTTTTTGTTTTTCCTACTACTTACTCTTTCAATAAACAGTATATATTTTCAAATAAGAAATCTCCAAAATATCATATCCCTAACTTTACTCCAAGTGTTTCTTAATGATTATTTTTTTTGTATTTGATAAAGATGGATAATTTTAATGTTTTATTAAAAATACTCATATATGTATATATAACTTGAAAATAATTCAATATTTCTTCAATTTGAAAAAAACTGTTAAATCTAAAATGTTAACACTTGAAAATCCTTTTTTCAATACTTCGTGATCAACTTTGTATTACCGCCGAAGTAAGTTTCATTCAGGTCAATATATTTACTTATTGTCTTGATAGTCTTTTTAACTTTCTTTTAACCATCTACTTTTCTAGTACCACCTCTTATTCATATTTTAGAAAGTTTAAAAAGAGTCCAATTTTTTTATAAATGCCATGCAGAATAGCGATTAGAGTTTATACCACATTTCTGCTTATACAACCGTATGAATTTAAATTTAAAAAAATAACCTCGACAATATTGTCGACAAGTATGATTAAGAATTGATTACAAAACCAGCCTAAGACAATGTTTGAGACAACTGATAAAATTTTAGAAGTAAATTGAATTATTTTAATCGATTTTTTATAACGTTACACCTACTCAAGAGTTCGATTCGATTTAATTTGTTTTTCTAATCAATTAAATCCTTCATCCCGTCTCGTTAATTTTGGTTTGAAAAGTAACTAATCGACTTACTAGAGATAAAAACGCACGTGTCTCTCTCTAATGACGTTCATATATATATGTGTGTGCATGTGTCCAAGTGCGAATCGTCTTGCGAATGGTATCATCAAGAAATCTGCCGAGCTTTTCGCCTTTTGTGCACCTCCGCAAACCTACACCTTATCCATCATTATATTGACTTCTCTATCGTGCGTGTCCGGCCGGTATACTTACTTGGGCCTAGTGTAAAAATGCTTGTATCGGCTTTCCCCGTGCGTCGTGGCCGGACTTGAGTAATGTTTGGCAATTATGAGTCGCACGCCCCATATATTTGTTATTTTCAGTGCTCTCAACGCGGTCGCCTTAATAAATAAGATTTCCGTACGTCGCAGCGAACGTCTGTCGCCCATTATGTGCCCCTTAAAATGTTTAATATGTGTTCTTATTCCCCGACCACGCTTTGCTTCAGCTGTTCCTGACGACTAAAGCGGCAACGACTAAATACAGTCGCACGCCCAGTTGGCTGGGAAACCCCGGAGGGGTACGGAAACGCGTTTAGTAGTTACCCAAGTTCGAAAATTAACATTAGACCGTAAAATTAAATTTTCCTTTACCCTAAAAAGTAACCCGTCGTCGTGATCAAACAACCGCTAAATGTATTCTGCACCTTATTATATGCCGACCGGTTAGACAAAACCTAACCTAATGCGTTTTTAAACATTCGTAGTGATAATAGAGTCGAACAAATTAATGACAATAATAATTGTATGTTCACAGTGGCCTACTTGAACATGGGACAGTTGCTGGCCACGATGGGACGTTGTGAAGAAGCAGAGTCGGTGTTGAAATCGTGTGTTTCTCTAGACGGATCCCACTCCAAAGATAGGGTCAATCACGAGACCAGCCGTATATCCGCTCTCATCACCCTGGGCAAGCTACACGCCGACAGAGGAAGATATCTGGACGCTGTTCAAGTTTACAAGCATGCCGTTACCGTGCTACCGCCGTACTACAACTCGAGGGTAAGTTTTAATGACATTTTACTTGTGCGTCTTGCTGCTAGTTAATTAACCAATTAAAAATTATAATTACTTTCGGCTATAAGTACTTGTAAGACTTTGGGTTATTTTATTTTTTATATTTGGATGTACACCGTACGATATCATCTTTTAATTTAAAAAGAAAAATGCAAATATTTGATAAGCCATCAGTATGATCATTGAGTATAATATATATACATGCATATATATATATATATATATATATATATATATCATAATGGTATAATATAAAATTATTAATTTCTCGAAAATTGTAAAAAAAATAATGTCGTATAATATTTTTTTTAAAAAGTTAACTATATAGACCATAAAAATAAAAAAGGAAATAATAAATATTACAAATTAAATATAATCTGTACAACAAATAAATACCATTATATCCTAAAAGCATTCGCAAAATCTGTTAAGCTTTTAATAAATAACAGGTAATACCAGCGTTGGTAGGTATTTTTTATAACCCATATTTTATCTGATTAAATTGAATTTTAGATTACTTTACATGAAAATAAAAAACCCCTACGATTGTATCGCTACCAGTGTTTTAAAAGTCGTACGCTATAAATATTATTAATTAAATATTCTTTTTGGTGAAAACATAATTAATTAAAATGATTAATTTAATTAAAATATAACCATCATGCTGTGCGTTTAATGTCATTAATCGAAATAAGTGCTCCTTGTTTTATTTTGTTAACAATTTGAATGTAACTCATTACAAACTATAAAGGCAAAATGGTTTTTAATTAAACAATTTCGAAAAATGTCAATATTAGTTAAAAGTATTAAAAAATCTTTATGGATTGACCGAATAACTTATACCTATATAGGTAACTAACTTTCATTGACGATTTTGCATTTATATTTTAACATATTCACGGACTATCTATTATAGAGAAATTAATGTTCAAAAGTCTGTTATTCAAAATTTTTTACTTTATTCATAAATAATTTTTGTATGAAAACTATTCATATAGACGTCAACACGTGCCAAGATATAATACAATGTTTTCTTAGAACAATATTTTTCTATTGACATAGTAATATAGTAAGGGTATGCGGGATAAGTAAAGCGTGCAGATAAAAATAACTGTACACTCCACCCTTACTTCCGTCCTAAATTTTAAGCTTTAATAACCTTTAAAGTAACTATCCAAAGCTGGTTGTCGACTAGTCAAAATTTCCGGCAAATTTTAGGGCCTTTAAAGGAAATACTAGGAAAGAAAATATTCAGTTATTTTCAACATTGTAAAATAACATAAGAAAATGTGTTTTAAAAAAAAACCATAAAACTATTATTTTTTTTAAACAAAAGAGTGTTTTACGTTTAATTGTTCACCCTGTATATTTATATATATTACTTGAAGTAAAAACAAATTAATAATACGAGGTAAAAAAAAGGTTAGGTTTGCTTATGAATATAGCATGTTGATTAACTATATTTTAAACGAGTGAATGGAAAACATACGTAACAACATAATGATTTAAGCTAATCTCGAATACACATTTTTTTTATCCTAAAACAACCCCTCCTTTCTTTCGTGCTAACATAATTAACACCCTTGGCTAATTCTGACCCTTAGTTTTCACCCTTGTTTCTTTGTGTTCATTTGCATTATTCGTTTTTTTTTCAATCCCTTATAAACACAACCGCCGACACGCCAGGATTGTTTTATAATATCGTTACGGCCGCTTTTTTTTTGTCGTATAATATTTTTTTACTTTACAAAAAAAAATAAAAGGCCACTCCGTCAAGCTATAACCAAAATCATTGCGGTAACGCAGCGAATTGCAAAGATTCGGCCAATATATATCACATGGAAATTAATTTTCCGAATTCCCACCACTGCATTACCTTCGTGTACTTTATGTGAACAATATCCTGTTTATTTTAACCCCCACGCCTCATATTGTGCTGTTTCCCCTCAAGCAGTGCACTGTGACTGGTTTAATATTATGTAGAGCTATTATACGATACTGCTCGTGAATATGTATTGTATTTCAAATCGTTTCCCCTTGCGTGCCGCCGGTTTGTAAATTAATCCGCTCGTAGGTACATCATGTATATTATATATCATAATCACGGTCTGATTTTGACATTCGGTGTAGGTGGAATGACAGTGGAATACAGAAGATGTGCTTATGGGCCATTGTCCAAAGCAGCAATAATTTTTATTCGATTAAACGAACGGTAGCGCATGAATACAATTTATAATTTCAATTAATTCTGTGTAATATGACACGTTAAGTCTTTTCACTAAAACGGTTAATACCCGATTTTCCCAAAAAAACGTACCCGTTCACTTCAGGGTTATATTTTATTTAGTGCGAGGTTATAAACTCCACGAAAAGCTAAAATCTGTTTTGTGAAAATCTTATTCGACTTGATAAAAAAAAACGTCACTAAAATTGACCCTTTACAATGTTGTATCACAATTAAAAAGAAAAATAATTATTTATGTTATTTCAATTAATTAAGTATCATTAGATAAAAATAATTTTAACACCTCAATTAATATTTTATACAAAATTGGTTTTTATAAATATTTTACTTGTTATTACGAATATTGGTCCAAGAACATACTAGGTAGGCGATGCTTCATTGAGTATATATTTCCTATTATGAAATATACTCGTTTCAATTAATTTTCAAATGTTTGTAACGTGTATTTCTTAGTGTTATATAAAAAGTCGTACTTGGCAATAAAACATAAATATAAATTTATGTATTTTTAGGTTTTGTTCAGTCTGTACGGTGACGCTTTATCACAGCTGAACCGACACAGGGAAGCAGAAATGTGGCACAAGGCGGCGCTGGAGGCCGGTCCGGATCACGTCCCAGCACACTTGAACTACGGCAAGTGGTTGGCGAAAAATGTGAGTTTTACGACTTAAACAGTATACCGGTGTTACCATACTTAGAACCACACTGACACGAGTATAGTATGGTGATTTTGTACATGCATTTTCTGGTACACGGCCGTTGACATATTTTTTCAACTCACGAATGAGGCTAGTTAAAAAAAAACATTAATTTAAAACAAACCTCGTTAAATTCTGGTCAAACTATAATTAAATTCAACACAGGCAGAGAAATTGCGACCCGGAAAAATGTCATGTCAAAACGTACAAACCGAATTTAATAACAATGACAATGACACATTTAGAAAGGGCGGGTGGACCGAATAAAACATTACTTTACACACAAACAATATGCATTGTACTGCAGGCGCGCATTTCCCGGCTACCAAATTATAATTTGTCGACGGCGGAAAAAAATGTGTTTTTCAGTTTAAGGTGAAAAGTTCAGCAAAACAAAAAAAAAATGAAATATTTATATCGCCATTACGCTTTATTATGAATTCACGAGCGTGTTCTGAACAGCCGGAGGATTAGCGCAGTCATCCGAACGCTATTGTTTTCAGGTACACTTAAGAGTGCAAAAATAATCTCGGTATGGGATTAAAATTCATAAGTGAGCGTTTCACATCTCTAATGGGAGCTACCGCTTAAGCGTTGTTCGAATGCATTTCCCCGATTTAACGAATATATTTTGTACAGTTCACGTGGAACTCAATAACGTCCCAATCATATTTCCTATTGATTTTGTTTTTGCCCCACTCGTTTTTACAACAAATAATCATTTGCAATTTGAATTCGAAGAAAACCGTAAATTCCCTATTTTCTGTAATTTACACGCTTGTTTTTTTGAGAAAAAAATTTAGGCAATCGCCTTTTACGACCAAAAATATTATAATACTGTTTCATTATAGGAATGTACTTACGGCACACATTTACGTAACACCGTCAAGCGCGGGGATGGTAAAGTTCAAGAACAATCACTATGGTAATCTAAAAATGTCCTCTCCGTTTAGAAGAGAGACATCTTTCCTAATCCGCTTGAAATAAATTTGTGGATTAAAAATTCGGCGCACTTGTGTTTTTTATGTAATTTTGCGAGTTAAATAATTGTTTAATTCTGTAGTTTAGTATAATTGAAAAAAAAACATACAATGAAAAATAAATTGCATAATTCGATTTAATTTCTTCAAGTAAATATACAAAGTAAACAATATACCCATTTATTGCTGTACATATAGCGTACCGGATATAGGCTGTATTCCCAAGATATATTGAGGTGGTATGATTGCGGTTAACGTTTAGATAGATAGGTGGAATGTCCGGATTATATAAAAATCCATCTCAAAGTGTAAATAGAATGCGCTCAAAAAAAAAAAAAAAATCGAGATAAATAAAATGAAAATATTTTTTTCTTACTCCTACATGACCTGGTTCTTGACGATGATTAAAAGTCTATTGTTCTTTTGTTTGCTTTTTCTCGTTTCAAAACTCCACATTTTCAATACGCGATGATTAAATGTTTAAAAAAATGTTAGATTAAAAAAAACACTTATACGTCGAACCCAGGCTTTTTAGTTTTACGGATAATTCAACATAAAAATACACTAAAAGCTGTCGATGGGGAGAATACTAAAGGTAATATTAGAGGTACAATCAAACCCGGCCATTTTTTCATTAAACAACAAACAATTAGTTTAAATGCATTTTATTTAGCACATCAAATAATTGTTTACTAATTTCTATTTAAAATACACGTTTGTTTTAAATCATTTATTATTTCAATTTTTATTCAAATAATTTTTTTAATTAAATTTTTTTTCCATTTTTAATAAAATAAAAAATAATTTAAATAGTTCCAAACTTGTCATAATGTAATCCATTTAAACGATAAAACATATCATAGGCAACAGACGAAACGTCATATTAGAAAATAATCCTTTTTGATAAATTCGCTCTTGAAAGATAATGCCGCATCAAGATTAAATTTTTATGCGTTTTAAAACTATTATGATCTAATTTATTTAAATTTTTTTATTCGGACAAAATGTTTTAAAACATCTTTTATAAGACATGTATTTAAAAAGTTTATTGTAAGACGTGAGCAATTAATTAATTTTTTGTTAATTCCAATGAAGATTTCAAAAACAATACAAGCTTTCTTTGTAAAATTATAAGCTTTACCCATAGGCTTTTTTTATCCGAACGGTTAAACGGTGAGTATTTTATGTAAGTACCTAATTACCAGTATACCATTTAACCCAGAGGTAAATGTCATGTCGGTACGGGTACTAGACAATTATTATTAAAAGAAGATTGTATTTACGCCCCTTTGGCAATAAAAAAAAAAATTGAAGTATACGAGTAATAATAATAAGAAAGTCCTATCGTCGCATTGTGGCTTACGGACAGCTATAACAGGGGACAAGATGTTTTCTTAAGCTCTAGATTGTTTTTCTTCTTGTCTGCGATTTCCATAACGTTTTATCCATTTTTTTTTTTTTAGAGAACGCGAGTTCACGAAGCAGAAAATTGGTTTCTACGAGCGAAAAAATTGGCTCCCGGTGACGCGTCCGTGTATAAACATTTTGGTCGGTATTCTAATGCTGAGCAAGCTTTTGATTTTCCGTTTCCACCAAACTGTGTACCAACATAGAATAAACTATTTCGTTTTGTATTTGATCAGGTGTATTTTTGTTGGAACAAGAGAGGTACCCCGAAGCGGCCGCACACCTGGTGGAAGCGGTCGGTCTCGAACCAGAAGACTACGACCTGACCGTGACCGCGGCGACGGCCCTAAGACAGGCGGGTGTATCGCTCAGGGCCGAGGACATGTACAGAAAAGCTGCAGCACTCAGGCCACAAGTACGATAATACTTGATAAATGAATCCCATTTTTGTATTTTCGGATTCCCATCACTAGGACATAAACAGCTATAAGGACTTAAACAATACCCAGGACCATTCTACTTGGCTTTTTATTGGACTCGCACGTTCAAATGCCAAGGTTTTCTTTAATTCTAATTTTTCAACTAATGACTACAATAAATTAAAAACTATCAATGTATTTTTTTTATTCATCCGTATTAATTTATTACTTTTAACAATAGTTTGTTTAAATAAAAACTATTAAACTAGAAAAAAATAATAATAATAAAAGTCAACAGACTAAATTGTTTTGCATAACTCAAAACTTTTCACCCCTATAATTATATTCTGTGTTCGACTGTCTATTAATAATATTTTATACTTAAGAGCACGTAGACAGCAGTGAAATATTATTTCTGAGAAACTTCAAAAAGAGTTAAAATATGAATTTTGGTCATGTTTTTCCCCGCTTTAACGTACTATGAGTGAATAATAAACATCGAGATTGTTAATCATAAGACTATTTATATTTTCCCATTAAATGTTATCGTAATTACTTTTGGATCTAAAGGGCTAAGGTAAATAATATTGTACATACAATATAAAAAAAAAAACAGAGGATAAACCGTCTGTCTGGTAATATTTATTTTTCTACCTAAAGTAAACCCGAAAAAGGCTTAACAAATATTTTCAATCGGTCCATATTTTACGCTTTGGGCTTATGGAAACGGCATTAAGATGGAAAAAGGGAGGTATTATTTTATATATATATTCAAAAATAGTATTAATAGATGTAGCGTTGAGAGTGTATTTCTTCGATAACAGTAAGTGTACGACTTAAAAAAATAACTACTGAGCTCAAAAATGAAAAACCAAATAAATAAATCATGAGTTATGAGGAACGAACTGTATGCATAAGAAATAAAAAGGAGATGAAAATAAAAAACGTGTCGAATAAAAGCCGTTTTAAATCACAAATTATGATTATTGTATCTCATAAAAGTTTTCTCGGGGGGCTGGATAAAAAGAAATACACATAGTAGAAGAATATTTTAAAATATATTACTGAAAAGCAAATTGAACAAATCAGCAACATAATTTGCATTAATATACAAATGATTCCTTTGGCTTTCTGAATAAATATTAGAAATAATAATAAATATGAATATATTTTAGATTCTTTACACACAATATTCTATGTTGGCCATTGGGTACAAACGAGTTGATAACTGTATTTTTTTTTAACGATCACGATTAAAATATATTAGGTTAATCAAAAGAAACGTCTAAAATAACAAGAAAAAAATAATAATTAATACAATATAATTCTATTATATTTATTTTTTGATCGGAATATAAATTATGCGATTTTGCTTACTTAGGTACTATTCCTTTTTGAACTCTAAATGATAATTTTTAAAATGAACTGTGTAAATATCAAAATCATCCTAAATGATCATTCAGAGTGAACATTGTCAAAGTTGGGTTAGGTCGCTTAAGATACAAAATTAATCGTGTAAGCCTATCTTATAGCTGCTACTGATTGAGTAAGCATTTCCAGAAATGACACTTTTTGTTCAGCGTTGTTCGCATATGTGGAATTCAATCTTTAAGCCGCCAATTGTAATATAAAAGTAAAATATACAACTGATAATTAAACAATAAAGCATTGGTGCAATTTATTCTAATATGAAGTTTAAACAAACAATGAACTAAAACAAAATTGTTGCTTCTGGGCATTGTATAGTTATAGAGGTACATTAGTACACAGTCATTATGCAAACTAAGTAACCTAAACTTTTAATTATATTATTTATTTTCAAAAGTGGATTTTTGTTCTCATTCATTAAAACTACAGCTGTGAAAATTTTACGACGTTAAAAACAATGCAAATTCTTATAAAAAGCTACAGGTAGTTTTACCCATAAGTCGTTAGTAATTTATAATAGGTACCTATAAAGTTAATTATTTTAACTCGAATTAACCATAAATTATAAAAATCACAAAATAATTTAAAACGTTCGGACTCAACTTACTCAATATTTTTATACCTCTAGTATTTTAAAAAATATATAATAAAATACTGTTTTTAAATTTTCCTAAAATCTTACTGTGATCCATTCTTCATACGCGATACAATAAATAGCATTTTTTATTAAATTATTATGCTTTATTTTTTAGGATGCCAGCAGTCACAGTAACCTTGGAGCCATGCTTCACCTGAATGGCAAGCATCGCGAGGCGCTAGTTAGTTATCAGAAAGCTCTGAGGATATCGCCAGACGACCAGACTACTTTAGACAACCTCAACAAGCTCAGAAATGTTTTGCGTCGCCGGTCTAGGGCGTGATACGCCAACCGGTTCACTCCATCATGTTATTTTTAATCCGTTAAAGTTTCCTATGTACATTATATTATAATATATGAAAAAAAAAGAAATGTATTTATTTTTACTAAAAATTGTATAACGCCTTAAAATAAGAATATTATTATGTTGTACCTAACATTATTATGTTCCTAACATTGTTAGAAATTGTCAAAAAATAAATAGAATGTATTTATGGACATTTTACAATGGATAATGAATTGTATTAATGTAGTTACTGCATCGTAAGTAACATTGGTTTAATGTAACATCAAATACAATATTATCTTTTAAATGTTTTAATCAAAGTTCAGTATTATCGTGGTTACCTTAATACAATTATTATTTTTCGTTAATACAATTTTCATTACATAAATTATATTTTATACTGTTAAATTAGGTTATGTCTTTTTTTTAAAATTTTTTTTATGTCCTATGAATGCAAAGATAATTTTTTATAAATCATTCATTAAAAATGTTCTTATATTATAATTTAATATTATTGAATAATAAAAAGTGTGGCATCCCCTAAAACCAACCTTTATCATTTTGTTTTGTACTTCATAAATGTAAGGAATTGATATGTGTAAACAACAACTAATATCGCATCGTATAGTTGTACAGAAATTGCCAAGCTTTATTCCTGAAAGGATCAAATTTGTGTTGATTGTAATTATATCCAAATTATGTGATCTTCAATCATAAAATTTTCTTGCATTGTCATTTTTAAAATAATTTTAACCCTTTATTATGTCTTGCATGATTAAAAGGCAATTTTTTAATTTTTATTTCATAATTTAAAAAAAAAAACATTAGAACGCTACCTATATATATTTAAAAAGTCGTTCCTCATTTAGTTTTTCTAGATGTTTTTTAATCTTACATACTGATTTAGTATGAATTTACCAACAACTATTTAATTATGCTCAAAATATTTTTATTTAAAAAATATCTTTTAGCTTTGTAACTTTATGAATAAACATGTTCATAAAAAAATATATTCATACATTTTAAAAAAGACTCTTTTTTTTTTTAATAATTCAAGATAATTTTAAACCCTTATTTACCATTTTAACTATTTATTTATTCTTCTAAATTTTTAAATGTTATTGTTTTAAAATGTAATTTCACAAATTGGTTAGTATAGACGTGGTTGGTATTTAAACGCATTTTTGTAATAAAAATTTGATTTAGTACATCAAATAATTTTAATCTCAAATTAGAAATTATGTACCTATTATATCACTTGAAAAACAAAATTGTTATTTTTGGACTTCAGAAAACAGAGAAAACATTATAACCGTTGACAGATTACGATTTCTACTTAACTTTATTACCATACATGTATATAAATATTATTTAAATTAAGACATTTTGTACATTATATGTAAAGACAATAAATTTAAGACGTTATAAATACATTTTTCTTTTATATTTTTTATTAAAAACTAACTTTTTGTACAACATATTATTATATATCAATATTCGTCTGGTCCTAAATTTCCTACAAGATCAACTCCTGTTTGTATTTGTACTTGAGTGTCCGACGACGTTGGTGCGCAGCAATATGGACTACCGTGTACGTTATTTTTTGAACAATAAGGCGCATCTGTGTTTACCACGCAGTAAATCCCTCTTATCCTACAATAACAAAAATAATCCTTTTAAAAACAAGAAATACACCTACATAAAACATGTGCACATAAACGGTTACAATTTTTAGGGTAATTATTAATTTTAAGTATCTAAACAAAGTGTAGCAAGTAAAGAGGCAATAGAAATATCACTAGAGTACATTAATTCAATCACATTTCTATTTTGTATTATTCATATTGTTACTCACTCGTCTGGAGTGTGCTGCCCGAGCTGGACATAAGGTGCCTGTCCCAGAGAATTGACGACCGGTCGTGTTGAACCCTCTCCCATGCATCTTCTGGCACACGGAAATGCCTTGCGGGCTAAGTCTGGGTTTAAACTTTCTGCAACGTAGCACACGCTTCGAGAATGGCTGCATAGCTCACTATCTATTTGATAGTATAAATAACACATTGTCTTTAATATGTACTACAAAAATAATGTTGTTACGTTCACGTTGAAATTTCAATAAGACAACGTGCTCATCAAATTTGACATTACAACACAGCAGTATACAAATTGAAACCCTCCAAGCCTCTTACTAAAATGCCTAGTCGACCTTAACGTGCACCCTTAGATACATTATTATGATTAAAAAAAACTCACTAGAAGCATTCAAACAGAAAGGCTGGACGTGCCCGCCGTTCAAGCAAAAGTCAACGTGTCCCATACGTCTTAGATCTCCATAATTAGCCGTGGCATGTATAACCTGCACAACTTCAGCGTCTCCTGAATCCAGTCGTCCTGCAGCTCTGTTCCTGATCAGAGGTCGTGCGGGATCAATACCTTGATAGATAAATAAATGATAATAACATAATATATATATGTATTATAAGTTTTTCTCTGAATGATAATGGTGGATAGCGTTGTAAATATTTTACCAGCCCGTTGTCAAGGAACTTAATTAGCTGAAAGGTACTTCTATTCCATAGAGCAACGCAATCGGTTATAACCTTAAATGTCTTATTTTAGGATTGGTGTAATAATTGGTATACCGTAAAAACTAATCAGCATCATTGAGTTTTAATATTTAATTTCTCGATTTTATTACCGACTATTGTATTTTTGTTTATTAGTATATTTGCGTATAGTTTAATAAACCGCCGATTTATTTATTTGGACTAATACCTTTATTGTATTAGATATTGAATATCGACGAAGACATTAATAGACCGTAGTGTACTTCGAAAAGCGATTAGTAAAATTGTAATAATATTGTATCGCGGTATACAGGTACCTACCATACGTGACACTAGAGGGTCAAGCCAAGAATAACTTAACCGCCGATTGTGTTACAGACATGCGATTAAAAAATATACCGTAACCGAGGTGCGTGACTTGACTTTGAGATGAAGTTTGGTCACGGTTTCTTACCAATGATCCGGTGCATCCTGAACGGTAAATAGTTTGCCATCATGCCACACATATGAGCACCCAAACTATGGCCCACACACGTTAACTGGTCGACGTTTAGCCCGGCGTTTCGCAATTGTGACAACATCAAAGCTATACATCTGGACACGGACTTGAGATTATAAACGGCAGCTGCGTAGCAAGGGATTGCCGCCAGTCTGCCCCAGTCCACCATAAACACATTGTACTTGCCGTTGGACAAATAAGCTGAAACGTTTCGATAATAATCTACAATTATTATTATTTTACAACTTTAAAATTTTAAAAAAACCTACAAATTTTATTCATTATTTATGCCATTAAAATCAACATACAAATTTAGCTGTACTTATTGTTAATAGGTAGGGAACCAGAATCAACATACTTATAAAAATGGCAAATAAAACGTACCGTCTCTCAGAACTGCTGCAGGTAAATAGTCCTGAGACACTCCGCCATACCCGTGCACGATAAGAACGGTTGGTAGCGAATGGTCCCATCCGCTGGAATGGAGCCATGCGGGTGACCTGAACTCAATTATTTGTTTTACAGTTTCTGGCCCGTTAGGTGTTTGTCTAAGGAAAATAAATTGCACGGTAAGACTTCCACAAAACGCTATTAAAACATAATAATACGGTGTTCCAACTTTCATAATAATCTTTCTTAGTTTAGAAAATTCGGATAATGAAAAAGAAATATAAGTATTATATGAACTGGCCACAGTTTTGTGCTCTTAATCGTTTTCAGTTTTCAGTAAGATCTCGACCACAAACCCTATTTACTCTCCAACCCATTTTCCGTAAGTATTATTGTAGTTCTACAAACGAGTTTTACAAATGAAACTTCACTTACAAACGTGGCACAATTTCTACCCAATTTATTGTAATTCATTTTCCAATAGATGTCCAGCTCTGTTTACTTCATTTGTTATGATCACAATCCGATTCTTATACACGGTTGTTTACACTAAGATATATATTATTATATTACACGACAATTATTGAACCACTTATAATCACAAATATCATAATGGAGTTTTCGTTAAAGGCCATTCGTGGGCGATTCTCGTTTTATGGAATAAGATTTTTTTGAAGAGCCATTAAATATATTAGATATTTTTCCACCACCTGCGTTTGCAGTTTGTGACGCAGAAAATTGTTTTTTTTTTCTACTTTCACATATTCACCTGATCGTATAGTAAAGGAATAAAATGTCTTGCCCGGGGCACGAATCGTTTGCATCTCGTCTGTAAATGCAATCCTCTCTAGTTAGGTTACTCGGTTGAGTGCCGAAATGCAAGGCGTCTTGTAGCAATCCCTTTCCCCTGAAGGTGCCTATAAAATTTCAAATGAAATACAATAGCACAAATCATCAGGGTACATGATTGGTAAAAAGGTAGCACTTAAATCAACAATTTAGTGAAATGAAAATTCATATTCAAATTATTTATAATCTAACTAATAAACTTTCACTTAAATAACAACATTTTTAACATAAGTGTTGAGCCCATATATAGTATTAAGTAGATGCTAAATATACACTGATAACGTTTTACCGTGAAAATATTTAACCTAAAAAATCGTAGATAGAAACTAATATATATTATTGATGTTATTGCACACAATGCTACACGATAACGGAGAAACTTTTGTTTCACACAATAGCACACTGTACATTTATTGCTTATTATAGTAATTAACAAACTTTCCTTTTATAATACTACACCCATATATATATATTATTATAACATTTTGTTGACTGGTACCACAATACTTTGTTTTGTTGTTAATTAAATATTAACAAATGGTTCCTACATAATATGATTGTTTGTACGGAATGGATTAAGTAATGTGTTTATTATTGAAAAATCGACCAATTCGTAGTAATAACATAAAATTAATTTTTTTTACAAACGTACCTAATAAAGGATATCGTTAGACATTTCTATGTCAAACATGTTTGGTTTTTTTTTTACATAGAAAATAAGACAATACTGATAAAATTATATAAGTTTACTCTTACGACAACCACTTTCGTTCTCTAACCTCAACGAAATTGCATTCAAACATAAAACCAATAGCTCACCACAATGTATTAACGTGCAAGTAAGTGTAATTTATATAAATTGGCAGTTCGCATAGAACCCACGTAGACACGTTAAAAAGACAACAATACAAATTTAGCTCAACATTTGATAAACATGTAAAATAAATCTAGAAAAATCCTGATATTAACTTAACTGGTCAAGTAATAAAATACCCTCCTTCACCACAAGAAACAATACACTTTTAAAATAGGTAGTGTATTATCAGTCCGTTGTGATTACTGATGATGATTGCATTGCTACCGAAATACGGGTGAACGTTAATATTAAAAATTGTATTATGTTTTGCGGTGAAGGTTATTTTTTTAATTATTTGATTATTGAACTGTATAAAATGTCTATTAGAAATAAACCTACTTATACAATACACACAACAAAATATTCTCGAACAGCAAAACATAACCAAAACTGTTTATCATTACGAATGAAATTGGGTATGGGCACTATGTAGAAAGGTACCCTAATGATTTTTAAAAAGAACATTGAGGATAGAGTCAAATCTATTTTAAAACTGAATAAAGAAACTTACCGTAAACCGACGAAGCCAGTGCCAAAATACAGAGTCCCGTTTGAATCATATCGTTTATACCTATTTACTATAACACAATTATTGATCAATAGAAAATAACTATGAAAAAATGTTGTTGCACAACCAGTTGAAATAAAAACAAACCTTTGATACGGTATTTTATATAATATATTAATCTATCGTGTACACCACATAGTTTCAGTTCTAAACACTAAATAACAATGAATATTTTGGTACAATGTCAGAAGACATGTGGTCGTGCAAAACTGTCCTCTCATGAAGCTTTCTCCCCTTCCTCGTGTATTGAAAGCAGTAGTGGAATGCCGGTTGGCCACAACAAGTCTAAGCATCTGATTGACCTGTCACTGTTTTTAAAACCTTTTTATTATGCGATACTCGTGCTTACCACCATTATTGACATACAGTTAGAATTTACTTTAAAAATATAAACAAAGACTATATTTTTGAACGCTGTGTTATCTTCAAATTATTTTTATGTTTTCTTAAATATGTCTAAAACAAAAATAAATATTCTTTACATGTGTACATATAGATAATTTATGAATTGGCGACCATATTAACATATTATAATTATATATTTTATTAAAACGTATACATATTTTTATGATTATTAATAAATATTGATATTAAAACGCAGTTTGTTCGGTGATAATTTATTTGTTTGTGATTTGTTTGGTCACTGTGGTGGTAACTTTTGGTGGGCCTGTCGAACTCCAGCTCTCTTCGAACGATTCTTCTGATGAAAACTGTTGACTGGACGACATGACTGTACGCTTCTTAGTACCTCCTCCCGGTGTCTTTTCCACAGTCTCCGACACTGTAGCCGACGTTTCCTCCGACTGTTTGCTTTTGGCTTTCTGTTCCAGATGTGAGTTTGCCGTGTCTTTGGTGACCTGTTAAATGAGCAACAGCAAATTATTTGTTTATTTTCTTTGTAAGTTCTATAGTTTTGTTTGGCAAAATTTACACTCGTTTAAGGTTAGACTTTATATTTTTAAAATAACTAAAATAATTTGTAGAAATATGTTATTATGTCCGGATAAAGTTCCGGTAAAACTCATATTTTACTCTTTAACTAAAAAAAATGTTTTATAATCTAATTTTGATTTTCAAAATTGGACAATCAATGTACTACTGACAATTATATTATAATGGACAATCGAATGACGTTCGTAACTAGTAATTATTCATCAACAAAATCCATTTTCCTCAAACAAACAGACATAATTTATGCATTATTCATTGGAAAGTTTTAGACAAATTGTGCAAATCCCTGGAAGGTTTTGAAAAATTGATTTTAAATTACTTAGCACAACTGAAGTTTTTTCGTTTAAACCATTTATTTTTTATCAAATAATTACAAACAGTTATTTTTGACACGTTTCAGTTGTTTTATATGACTCGACGATCCAATTTCATATTACCTAATCTGATCAATATTTTTTGTTAAAAAACAACTTTATTGTATGCATTACTAATTTAGCTAAATAACTTTTTATCTGATATGTTTATATATATTATGTCTTGTTTCAACTTTTACTGTTATGTTCAACAGTAAAATACATAATATGTGTTTTATTATAATCCGCTATTAGGTCAAGGTATCAGTTCCAGGCGTAAAATAAGCAAACCACTATAGCGGAATGTAAAAAAGGTGGTATAATTGATAAAAATAGGACTAGTAATAATGTGAAGTATTTGTAAACAATTGAGGCATTATACATATTAAAGTCGTCATATTATATAAAGTTTAGTATATTATTAGAACGACACAGAAGGGTCAGCGCTTTTTAAAATACGGACATGGGCTTGCAAGAATTATCTGTAAAAACGACAGAAGTAGCTATCGGACTCATGCCAGAAAACATTGTATTCTATTAAGTACAAACATGTGGGTCATTGTAAAAGTGGTGTAACTCCAAATTATTTTAAATATACCTAATTTTGCTTAATGGAGTCACATTTAGCGATATCTTTCAATAAAAAAAAGAAGCGACTCCAATAAATGCAAAAATAAATAGAAAATAGAAAACACTGAATGAATACTTGTATTTGTTTTCCAATACATTAATTTACAAAAATTATTTCAAAATTAAATTACAAAGAGATAATTCACTTTTACAATAAACGACACATGTAATATACTGATGAAATAATATTTTATTCCGAATAAAAAAATCTAAATTACTGTTATAGTGTAAACACTGTTTACAATAATTAGACAAATACAAATTTAAGTTACAATGTCTTAACACAATCAACAGGTCGTATCCCCAAACTCATTATATTGACCACAAACTAGTTGACCACTGAATTATTTTTAACAACACACGAGACTAGACTATGTAAAAAATTGAATCTCGCCCAAGTAAAAAATAGTAACATTGTTCGAGTAATCCCAAAATAACTCCATGGAAAACCTTTACAAGTGTTCTTTAAATATTATTATTATTTTTGTTATAATCTCTCTTAGGGGTGTACCTACACTCGTTTATTAAGTATTTTATTAGCTATAGTGCTAATTACTTAACCCTCCTGTTAACACTATGTATAAGTTCATTTATGTACTTCTAAAACAAAAAAATGAAAATGAAAACGCTATAGCTTAGAGACAAGAAATATTACAATTTTATTTGAACCCTATGAATTTTTTTGCTATATAATAGTGCAATACTGAAACTGAAATTTTAATTTTTGTACAAAAAGCAAAAAAAAATGCATTAACTGTTGGGTGAATGATAGTTTATTTGAAGCTCTAGGTTAATTTTTTTATATTATTCACACTATTAATAATTAAAGTTAAAAAACAAGCGTAATTCGGATTTTTTTCTAGTACCGTGACTAATCCAATACTACTTTAGCAGTATATTTAATATTATAAAAATATGTATTACATTGCAATATTATGCTATTTACCTCTTTGTTGCGTTCAGACACCACTGATGTTTCTTCAGTTGCCGATACCGTTTGTTTGCCAGCGACGGCGACAGGTTTTTTTTCAATTGTTTGTACTTCCATTTTATTTATTTTTAGACTTTTTTAATTTTATTTAATATACAATAATTTAATTACAATTTTGTTAAACCTACATAAAACAAGTAACGCGGTTTAATTACTCGTTCTTCTTATAAACACTACGAGCCACAGGCGGCAAAGGCTTTACTACTTCTACTTCTTCCTCGTCTTCGTAGTCTTCGTAGTCAATGTCTATTTCTTCGTCGGACAATTCTTCTTCTTCTTCTCCGGAGTCACTGTATTCCCTATTTACAGATAATAACATCAATAACAATTAAATGATTTTTAAGGTGCAGTTAGGGATATTATTATGTCACATTGTTAAATGATTAAAAATATCTAGAACTGATTAGGCTTGTATAACTATGCAAGTGTATGACGTAGAATATACTGATTTTAAAAACATATTAAGCGTGGCACAAGTACAATAAAAATTAGTATTTAATATTGGTCAAAACAAGTAAGGCGATACATTAGTAATTAAGTAATAAATAATAATTTAAAGACATAGCGAAAGGGAGTTAGGAAAATCAAAACACCATCACGGTTCAATGATCAAAAAAAAAATGTTGGCAACAAAATTATCATACCCCTAAATGGGTTTTTTCATAATAAATATCGGTGAAAGCTTAAAGGGGTTTGAAAAATCATAACTTATCTAGCTTGCTCTCATGTTGCGCTCAAGATTACCATTTCTCTATGTCTTCTGTGTACTACATTTAAATTTGTTTCAAAATCGTCAAAATATCTATCTTTTTAGAAAATAAATATTTGTTTACATTTATAAATGTGATATGACAGTGACCTAGCCACATAAATAATATATTATTTATTGAAATTTAGTACTAGTACCAGTTTAATAACTTGTTTTGTTAAGAAAAATGTTGAGTATATTTTATTTAAATAAAAACTCAATCCACTGTGGAGTTCTCTTTTTAAACTGAATTTTTATTTTTGCTATTTAAAACTTGTTGTAAATCGGGTTTTTATAGATATAGATAATTACCATAAGCTACTAGGTTTTTACAAACATTTTAATGTTTTTATTAGTAGAGAAAATTGGATAAACTTTAATAATAAATGTTAAAAGAATATCCAAGACTATAAATGGACGGAACTGGCATTGCAGAGGTCGCAAGGTTTTCAGGAATTAATAAAACTGAACTTGAAAAAAAACTCAAATCATTCGATGCGAATCTGTAGATGATAAAATTATCAAAATATATCAATAAAAACATTGTGAGCGCAAAAATGTGCTTGAAATTATATTTTGAGGTATATAATGAAAATAATTTTCAGATACCTATCGACTGATAACTCAGTTTTGGGTTTTCTTTAATTCAAATAAATGTGTATCGTATGTTAAGTTCTACTCTAGATCTACTGCATACGGTGTGTTCAAAAGTCCACGTTATTGATCCAAATCCAATAATGACCTTCAGTGTTTGACATTGAATTTATATCATAGACCATTTTTGTGTATACAGGCTGACTCATGAACCTAAGTGCCGATATACAATGTATCATAATTAATGAATCACTCTGTAGGTAAGTGTTAATATTATCGTTTTGTAAAATACGAATTATACACTTAAAATGAGTTTTAATGTACATTACTCAACTGTATAAATATAGAATCAATACTTCCATTATACTTTTTTTAAATATAAAATTTCTTTCTCCACTATATGAGATATTGATAGACAGATTGATCTGTTTTGATCATGAATGAATAAATATTAAATGATTTATCAAACATGTGAACTATTTGATATTTTTTTTTTTGTGACAAATCACCATACTTATTACCATGTCGAAAATCGTTTTTAAAATTTAAAGGGTTACAAAGTTAAATTATTGTTTTTTTTTAATGTGAAAATATCCAAATAAGATTAAAAATGCCGATTTTTAACACTGTTTGCAATGCAAATAACTATAGTGTTTTGTTTCAATATTTAGATAATATTGTTTAATCATAAGTTCTACAAAACCTCATAGTGATGCAGTAGTTCTAGATATTTTTAATATTAGGTACTCAATATATTATACTCTAGGATGGGCAGCATTTTTATGTACATTTTGTACTTGTCAATTCTCGAAAGTCGAATATACTTTTGGTCACAACAAACAATATGTTTGTACCAAAAATGTTATTATACAACACAATATTATGCAAGTTATTAAAACGTTCTACAATTTATATATATACATTATACATACCATTTTAGTGATGTGTTAAGCAACGTGTTAGACTACAATTTTCGTGAAATCCGAGTACGCTTCTATATACATATATATATATATATATATACATACATACATACATACAAAGCTTGATGACTTACGCATTTATTTTTTCACTAAAATATGTTACAGGCAAAACTCAAACAACAGCTGCCGTTGGCGACTTTAGCACGCTTTAACGTTTTAAGCACACACTCGCACATTTATTATGCAAAGCGAACACATTAAAATATACTGCGTGTAATGAATAATCATTATATAGATTTTGAACACTGTAACAGACATTTTGCTGTACCCCGAAAACGATGTAAATTAAAACTTTGCTGGTTAATGGTCGGATACTTAAAAAAATGTTCATCTATTAAACTGTAGCACAGCTTGAATAAATGTAAACATGTATTTATTTATTCATACACATACAAATATATTGTATTGAGTTCATTTATAACGCCAACCCCGAGATAATTAAAACGAAAATAATCACCCGAAGATGAAATTATAGCTTGACGTGTTATTCTGTTCTAATTTGTAATTTTGTTAAAATAGATAATTTGTAAAAAAAAAAACTACACACAAAACGTGTTTTATACTGTTGAAATTCGTCTGATATTTTTTTTAAAACAGTGTTACATTAAATCAAATTTTAGTATTTTCAACAATATTAATATTATATACGCATTAGAATAATAAAATATATAAAATTGATAACTATATATATATATATTTATATTATACGAGTTCTTCGTGTAACATAATTCGTTTAAACAACACCTTGACCACTTACAGTTGCTGTTCTTGAATGGTTTCCTGATGACCGTTTCTCTGTTCTTCTAATAGAAAAGCATCTATTTGTTCAGTCTTTTTTACTTGCGAGCTTTTTTTAATTTCAGCTGTGCCAGATAAATCTTTCTCACTTTCTGGAGTTGGGTTTTTATCACCTTTTTCGATCACAACAAAGTCAGTATTCTTATCAAAATACGTGGGCTCATCGCTAACATCAGGTAAAATGACGTTTGTTTCTTCTTTCTTGGGTTCTTCAACTTTTTTAGGTCCTTCTACTTTTTTGGGCTCTTCTACTTTTTTAGGTTCTTCTACTTTTTTGGGTTCTTCTACTTTTTTGGGTTCTTCTACTTTTTTGGGTTCTTCTACTTTTTTAGGTTCTTCCACTTTTTTGGGCTCTTCAACTTTTTTAGGTTCTTCTACTTTTTTGGGTTCTACTACTTTTTTAGGTTCTTCTACTTTTTTGGGTTCCTCTACTTTTTTAGGTTCTTCTACTTTTTTAGGTTCCTCCACTTTTTTGGGTTCTTCTACTTTTTTGGGTTCTTCTACTTTTTTAGGTTCTTCTACTTTTTTTGGCTCGTCGACTTTCGTGGGTTCTTCTTTTACTGCTGGCTGTTGGACAATATTAGGTGTCTGTGGTACATCTTTTGTTTTGGGATCATTTTTTTCGTTAGTTTTAATATCAGGCTGTATATTAGGAAGTGAGTTTTCCTTATTTTCAACTATATCTTTTGCCTTGGCTACTTCATTTTCTTTAGATATAAAGTCGTCAATTTTAGAACTATCCTTTTTATTTTTATTATCTTGTTTTATTTTTTCATTTTCCCTAGTAATAAAATCATCTATAATTTTAGAACTTTCAGGAATTTTAACATCTTCATACTTGGGAGGCTTATCTGGTTCATCAGACTTCAAATGCGCATCGTCATTAGCGATTTGTTCAAATTCTTCAGATAACTTTACATCGTCATCATCATCATCATCCTCAACATCATCATCTAAATCGTCGTCGATGTTATCGCTTACATCATCTTCATCGCTTACAAGTTCTTCATCCACATTGTTATCTGTCTCTACTACATCATCTGTTACACCATTCGATTGCTTCTGTGACCCAGGTGAAGTGTCTTTAATAGACTCTGGACAAGAATCCTAAAAAGATAAAATATCCATTTAGTTATTTAGAAATCATTAATCAAATAAAATGTATGATATTATTTCAAGCATATAGTGAACTACATAATTATCACATGTTTATCCTAAGACTGTTAGGGCTTTGCCGGCTGTAACATTATTGTGGTGATTAAAGTTCAACGATGGAGTAAGGTAAATAACAATATCTTTAACATATAAGAAAGTTAGTTCAAGTAGAATATCATTCATATAGTACGAGTCAGATTAATCTAGTTTAGATGAAGAATGAGGTAATTACTAGGAGAATTTTACTCTGGTGATCCACTTGTCAATTGAATCGACAAACAAAATAAAAAGGAAAAGGTTAAGTGTGCTCCTCGGGATACACGGGAAGACACATCATACACTTTTTTTATTTCTTTAATAAATTAAGACTTTATGTCTAAGATAACAGTGTAATTAAGTTATAGTTCAATAATATTACGATGCGTATAATGCTAATTTTTCAAAAATAATATTACTAATTTAGAACCACTAGCATTATTAACAAACATAGTCCCAACTAGAGGCCATATTTTATAAATACATATATTAACAATTCCTTTAACTAAAAAAAAAAAAAAAATTATCACGACTCTTCAACAAAATATAGATATACGCCTAAGCCTATTAATGGATTCAAGTTTTAATGATAATTAAATGCAAACTAGTCAGCGCCAGTTTATTTGGTCGTATTTACAGATAACTAGTTATAATTAGACTAATGATATTTGAAGAGTAAATTTGAATGAAAGCGTAAATAAAAAATAAAAATACACTACCCAAGAACGTGGCACCATGTGTGCTGTTACTCATCACTCAAACTTTTAAAACAAATCTTAATTAGTATTGTTCTGGCTATATATGGACAAAAACAAACAAACGACTGGCATGTATAACGAAAACGGTATAAAGAAAGGCAGGTGTGTCTGATTCAAGGCTACATTGTGGGATATACGTGGGATCGTATATTAACGGAAATGGGTTGGCTGAGTAAGGTACTGTTGCCTGCTTGATAATAGAAATGTCTTAAGTTTCTCAACGGGTTCAGCGAACTTTTCGGTAAAATGGACCAATGTTAAAATTTAAAACGATTAAATTCAAAAAACATAAATATACCTTAAACGACCATCATACATCAATAATTGAACGAATACTTATGAAGAATTAAAATCTAACAAACACTTGTTTATATTATTATCTCAGTTATTTATCACAGGCCCGTGTAATTCAACTTGATAACGGTCTGCGAGCAAAAACTAGTCTGCGAAACTACGAGTACAAAAAAATCGTACACTTTTGGTAAAATAAGTTCAATATTGAAATATAAACTGATTAAAGACATTTTATTCAATTGGTAGCTGAGATTATAAAAATATCAAAACATTTTTAAGAAATAAAATTAACTATAAGAAAACAATCTAAAGAAGTTAAGAATCTTAAGAAGTAAAGTAATCTAAAGACAGGCCTTAGCTACAGGTCTATAGACATTTTGTAACATGAAATTATTTTGAATTTTGAAAAACAAATAGATATAATATATAAAAAAGTTAGTTTTAGGTCTTTAGGACTTGAGGTTTGAAAATTAGTATGAAGGTAGATCTAGAGGAGTTGGGCAATAATATTATGTACTTTTTTCTGTAAAATCAGTATTCAAACTTTTTTTTTTATTAAAGAAAAACCCCAAAAAAGGGGGAAATTGTGTTTTGATCTAAGTAAATTTCCAGGTTGTTATGTGTGAGTGAATCAACAGGTATCTGAAAAATATTTTCATGACGACACATTGGTAACAATGGCAACAAATTTTTGTAGAAAGACAAACAACCCTAATCTTATCCACCTTAATACTAAAACATAGTTTTAAGCATATTATAGCTTTCACAATGCTTTCGACGCGTTTATTTGAAAGTGATTTAATTATTTTCAGTTATAATAATTTGTATAGACCTGTGACCACCCCCGTCCTAATATATTCCGTCCCCACTACGCCCCAACCTTGCTGTACAGGTTTTTTTTTAAATAAACTAAAAGTGAACTTGTCAAACGTTTCAAATGCCATACAATAAATTATAAAAATATATTTGCATTTTATTTAACGGACACAATTTTTTTTGTGATAAATTTGGTAATGTATGAAGTACAAATTAAATTATAAAACTAAATTCTTTTGGTACTCATAACATTTCACTTTCCAGCTTCATAACTAAAAATTATCAGTAAAAAGTAAAAAATAAAATTGTACTTATGCATAAAAATGATTTCTAAACCATTTATTTTGAAATAAATGATTTGTGAATTGACAATCAAATTATTTATAATGTATATGATTATAAAAGAGTTTTGTGTTATCATATGATTTGTAATAAAAATGGTAATAAATAAAATTAATTTGTGTATGCATCAAAGAATTAACAGTTAATGAATGCCAACTTGTAAATAAATCAAATTCCTTTTTCCTTATTTTAAAATGTAATAGCACTTAAGATAACGGGCTATTTAAAAGCAAACAAAAATAAGTTTATCATACATTTTTCTTTAATTCAAATTTCACATAATGGGCTGAGAACTCTAATCTGTAGTCTTATATTTTAAAGTGATAATTCATTACTAACCCGAAAAAACATTTTACGGCGGAGTTGTGAATAACAAATCTTATTTTTAGTCATTTTTACTACATGTTTCCATTTAAATAAATTTATAATAATACATATTTTAGCTTCAATGAAAATATATTTGTTATGCTTTAAAATAGTAAATAGTAATTTGAAGTTGGGATAGTAAAACATCAATTAGTTTGTTATTATTATGTCATGCGATCATATTTTTAAGTTAATAAGTAGATTTATCATGTAAAACTATTTCCCTGATTTTTCATTTCAGATCCACGTTGTAGCTTACAACTAATATAGACTATATACTATTACACAGCATGTTTTAAAAGTTTTGTGACAAAAGTACTTGTGCAAACCCTTAAGCCCTCCTCACTCAATTATTGAACGTTGAAGTTCTTTACTTCCTTGCGGCATGTCAATTGAAAATCAAATTTAACCTTGATTACAATACAAGCTTATTTAATCTCTGTCGTGTAGGTACCTACAACATGGGTAATCGATATTTGTCGATTTTCTCGTTTCTATAACACACCTAAATGAACTCTACTATAAAGTATCGAATATCTAATATGTGTATGTAACATAATAAATATAATAATAAGAACATCGTCGTTTATTTATTTTTTGCGCAGAAAGAAAAATGTGCGTGCGACGGTTTAAAAAAACACACATTGAGTTTATTAATAAATGCATGAGTAATCTTTGGCCGACGTCGATGTGCGAATGTTTTCTACGAAAGAAACTTAAAAAAATGTCCAAAACTTAAGTAGTTATTCAAGAAACATTTTGTCTATGCGGCGACAGCGTTAGTCGCCCAACGCCTACTTTCGACGTCGCCGACAGTGATTGATGCGTGCTTACATTTATAAATAAGTATAAGTATTGTGCGCAGGTAACGTCGAACCCATATTATTATTATGAACACCGCAAGATAATAGTGCATAATATTGGTTTGAACACACTATTGTCTAAAAAAAAAGCTGGGCCACTGTCTTAACAAAATCTTATATTCTCAATAATTGGTGACGATTCGATATTCGACTCTTTACAATACCACATACCGGTGCTCTGAGGATAACTCTATAGCAGAAATAACACATAGCAAGGCTGCTGACTGACGAACATACTATGTTCGGCTTAAAGTCATTGTGGTGGTCCGACTTCCTTCCTCGCCCAGTTCAGTAAACCCATCGCCCACCGGACGGACCAAACACATGGTCGCCTCCCGCGGCTTCCCGAATCCTATTTCTGTGCGGTCTAGCCGGTGCCAAAGCGGCGGTACCGCTCTCATACCTACACACATATGTACTGCATAAACTGTACTGTACAGATAACAGTCTGGACACAGTATAGACATTGATTAAACATGCTTAATTGTATGTAAACATATGGATGTTTAATCATGATATAGCTGATGCAATTCTATGGTGGCGGTTAATGTAAATAAATGTGAAATTAATAATATCGAGATTACCTGACTTACCTGGCCGAAGAAAAAGTTCCACACCAGCAGCAAGTACCGTCTGATTGCTTCCAACATGATTGCGGTTCACCGTGTTCTCATGGATCGTTTCCGACAAACAGATAGCAACGGTTTTGATCAGCAACGGAGAGACTTCTGTGGTATAACCCGATCCGATCGTTGAAGAAGTACGGAATGAAAATATCCACAAACCGATAAAAACAAATTAAAAAAAAAAAAAACTGTTTCAACAAAACCGTTTGCGCGACGCACACGATTTAATCGATCCGTAGGTATGACGATTTTTACCTGATTTTCTGCTGTTGTTGTTTCGTTGTACTTTATTAATAACCGAACCGATATGAGATTTTTGTTTTCCCCGGACAAACGCACAGCTGGTTATAGGCTATAGCGACTAGAACGCACTGGCGGACCGACGAAAATGCACCGGCGTCGAATCGTTTCGGTTAGCTCAAAGTGAATACAATAATAATAATATGTGTTTTTAGAAGGAGAAGGCACGCGGAGGGGAAAAAAAAGAACAGGCGCGGATGACGTCACCCCGACCGAGACGGACCTAATAATAATCGTGACGACGCCGCCGCATCGTGCAGCAGCAGCCCACTGCTTTTTTTTATCACTGTTGTCAGACACACATAACTAACTCTATTCGTTGCACTGTGCGAATCGCATTATCTACAATCCATAATAATTATTATTATACCTATACACGTATAATGCACCGCACAACGGACTCTTCCTCATTGTCACTCGGGTAGTAGCCGGTATGATATCATAAAAAAAAAAATGGTTTATAGTTGATTTTTATTCTCTGATCGTCTGCCATCGTAACAGGAATTTGAAAATATTCCCTATAATAGTTTTAGTCTATATATCTCTAATTAGTAAACGCTCGATAGGATTATACTTTGTTATAAAATATAATGCATCCGTACAGTCGGTTATGAAATCCAAGACACAATAACTCCTTACGTCAATATCCAGTTTTCCAATATTATCTTGTATGAAAAAGTATAACGGCTGTTTTACAATAGTAAAATATATTTGCAACGCTTAAATTGAGCCCAAAAGCGTTTTGATTCGAATAAATTGAAAAACGGATATGACATTCTCTCACAAATCATCTTCGTTCATAAATTGTGTTAACAAGTCTTTTTGATCATATTCAAAAAAACTGTCATGAACCGTGTAATCCGCATTTGGCGTAGCTACGTTTAGATGAAACAAATAGTATAAAAACGTCAAGGACGATGTGATGGTGTGATAAAATTTAAACTAGAATACGGAATTCTTATTACTGATTTTTTTTTTAAAACATCATTAGTTGTAATATTATAGTAAGAAATTCAAGTACAATACTGTTACACTTGCCCATAAACACACGTTTCCAAATGTAATAGAAACATTCCTAGTGATAAATTACATTTTCACAGGAAAATAATCAATAATTGTTCGATGGTAATTAAAACTGTATGATAAAAAAAATAACGATAATTGTATTATTGAAAAGTATTAAAAATTACATCAAGCTACCGGAAGCTATATTACCTAGATATTAAGGGTGTGCCCCGAAAGAAGGGTGTATTTATACAAGGATTACCCTTTGTGTACGGTGTGCGCCTAAAGAAATCATAATTTGTTTATTAAAAATTAGACATAAACAATTCGAGATGTATTAAAATTTAAAGACAAAGTGATTCTTTTATCTTACTTAGTGGTCGGAAATTAAAGGCTATAGAAATTGGAAGGCTAAAGACTTAAAATAATAAGTTTTACTGGTATAATATGTTCGATGTGACACTTACTAGTGATTATAGTATATAAAAGTTTCCACTGCAAATCAACATACCATTTCGATATAATTTTTTTTTTTTTTTCCTACCTAAAACTAAGCAGTTTAATGTAAATTCAAGAACATTCGATCATCGCTCGTTGTTTCAGCATTGATAATCAATTGATGTTTACATTATAATATTCTTTCGATGGACGACGTTACACAATAACATTATCCGACAAGATTTTACATCGTTGACTAAGAAAAAAAATGTATAACTTTACATAACATTATTTTTTTTTTTATACTAACACCAAGATCGATAAATTCAAAGGATATAAAGATACATATCAAAACGTTACATATCATTACTATATTAGGTTTTAAAAGGTTTTTTATTCTTATGTGTTTGCATAATACAGTTTAGTAAGACGTTTCCAGACTTATGTGACAACTTAAAAAAAGGGCCTTCTATGTATTATTAAAATAGTTGTAACTCGATAAAAAAAAATATATATATTCTATAAGAACACAGTCGCAGACAACTTAGATATAATTTTAGTGAATCACATATTATAAAAAAATGAAGTATTTTAAAAAAGAAAACCCAAAAGTATGCTGAACATTGGAAGTTAATGCGTATTCCGTTAATCGGTTAATAGGTTTATCAATTTTCGAACAATCCAATACTGACTATTATGTTTTAATAGAAATCGTTCAAGGTCTAGTATTAACAAAGTTGAGGTAAAAAAAGCTCACGGTTTATTATTATAAGTACAAAATAAATACAAAGAAAAAGAGATCTCGTGAATAGTTATTTTGACTATGGCATCATGGCCATGGGTGAATTAAGTAATTTGTAAAGGTAATTTTAAAGTTAAAAGTAGCTTTAAGAACTAACAAAAGTCATGCTCAATTTTATTTATTTTCTAGTAAAAATATTAAAATATACAGAAACATTTTGCATTATATTTGTACATTGAATTAATTTGAATTAAGTAAAAAAAAACATTATAATTCAATTTGGTGCGAAAAATGATAAGTTTACGTACTAAAATGACGAAAGAGTAATGAACAAAAATTACAATTTAAAAATTAGTTATTTTTTGCAGTGAGGATTTCCGTTTAACACATTTGTTATAACTTCGACCACAGTAGGTAATTCAAAAGTAAAAATTTTAAAAAAACCTAGACATAACGACATATTATATTAGTTAATTGATGTTTGTTTTTGTAAAAGATCTGTTTACACTGAAAAAATATTGATCTTTGTTCCAAGTCGTGGTTACCAAAACATTTATAAATTGCAAATGATACTACGTTCTAACGAGATTATAGTTTCTGGCAAAGTTATAAATAATATAATTTACTATAAACGATTCTAGGTCATTAAAATAAAACAAATAACGCATATTTTGATATCTCATTTGAATTAGTATACATTACAATTTTCAAATGTCATAAATATAAACACATTTTTTTTTACTAAACTATGTTCACATTGTAAACGGTGTGCATTAGTCAAATGTCACAGAATTAATGAGTATTATTTTTAGAATTCTTAATGAGCCATCTTTAAAAAAGTAATTATAGTTACAAGAACACTTGTCGTCGTTTTAATTGAACGATTTTTAACGAATCATTGCTTAGGTACTTTAAACGGTATTTCATTTATATGTCAAATTACATAATATTTTTAATCGTATGTCCTCCGGACGAAGTGTGGCAGTAAGATACACTGAAGTGTTTTATATATATATTTTTATTATGAGTTGTCAAATAATATTATAACACATCGATTAATCTAGTACAGACAGAAGTAAGACGAGAAGTAAGCTTGAATGTTTTAACATTGTTACTGTATAATGTATTTTTAAGACATTTGTAAACCACCAACTACCGTTAGATAAAAAACAAATAGGAAATCGACACTGGACAACGAAATTGTGAACGGCAAGTCCTGTTCAATTGTTAGCGTTCATCTCGTGTTAAAAGAGAAATATTAAATTCTCTTGTCTACTACCGGGTCGTTTGTATTTCATTCTGTTACGAACATCATCTTAAGGTTAACAAAAGCATAATATAAATATCATATTCTACTCCGGCCCGAATAATATATATATTTGAATCATCAGAATCGCATTTCTAGACAAAAGTTTTTCTATTTTTAATTACCAGACCTCTGTGTGCAATTCGATTATTGGCAACCCACACGGACTTGTCTTAAAAAATGACTAACGATGCCAGGAATTCCATGGAGAACGCTAGACATTTGTTGAAAATTGTTCAAATAGAGCAACCAGCGCACCATTATAGGATGACAAAAAATATTTATGTCGCCATATTCACGAAATTATTTACTTACAACACTAAAATTAAAATAATAAGAACGTTATTTAAGGAGTTATTTTATACGTATAGTGTAAGTATAGGTATAATATATAATTTCATGTGTCACGCGCTGCTAAAATAGAAACTTTCATACGAGTGTAACAAATATAGTTTACGGATTACATAAAATATTTTCTCTGCTGATGTGCTGCTTCATGTCAAAAATTTAATTAATGTAATTGATACATGAACAAATTTGTATAAAACAAAACACAACATATAATGTAAACGATCGAATTACAATGACTTCCTCTAAAACAATAATACAATTAAAAAAAAAAAAAAAACCTCAGCTTTGTATCGAAATTATAATATATACTATATGCGTACATGATATTATAAAATACATTAATAAAGTCAAGCCCAAATAATAATAAAACAGTTCTAATTAAAAAAAGTTATTTAATTTAAACGTGGGTATAATATTAGGAAACTTACAGTTTATTGAGAAACACGTATTCGTGGTCTACTTGAATTAGGTCAATAGTTTCTGTAAAACGTTATCAATTCTGAAAACTTATGACATCCCTTACCAGTTCAACGAAGATATAAGTACTAGTTTTAACTAATATTGACATTTACTTGAACTGAAAAATTGTAATAATAATCATCTATGTTATTTTACTGTGTATGACATAAAAATAATACTTCTAGTCAACTATTATATTTTCTTTAATATAAATTTGCATTTTAAAAATAAAACAAATTACAATTATATACTGCTAGTTATAATTTTCGTTTTCGGAGCAGATACTCAATAGCTGTCGAGTTTGTTATTTAATATCAATTAAATACTATACATTTGTTTTTATTCCAAAAAAATAATCAAGCAGATAGTGAGAAGCACGTTAAAAAAGCGTTAATTTTAAATAAGCCCTTTGAGTTTACTCACCACTTAAAACCAAGTGTTTACAACGTGCTACCCGGGTATGCGACTATAACTTGAGTGTCTCGGACAGTTCTAAACATTTGGTAGCCTGCAGCAATTTGTGTGGAAATAGTACCGGACTCTTATTCAGATATCATTTTGGGGAGGGACACACAATAAACGGGAAATGTGCCAAAATTAGCCGACCCGCTAAGAACTTTATTTCGGTCGCAAGCGTATATGCTGGCCATCATTGTTCTAAAGTATTTGCAAATATTTCCATGAATATACTCTTACTCAGTACTTCTAGGTGACGAACAATCAAAATTATTTCGTGACTAACTCATATAGATGCATGTAAAAACACACTATCAATAGATATTATGAAAAGAATGTTGTGGCAACATTCAACGGTCCGAAACTTAAATTTCAGCCA